AAATTTACCAACTGCTTTCTTAACTTTAATAAATCTTTGAATCATGGCCAGCATTGAATTCCAATGAATTTTTGAATCTAAAATAAGTACTAGCTCTTGTCCAAATTCACTTTTAGAATAACGTTTCAAAGTATTCATTTTTAAGGGAGATCTTTTAAAAGTTACAACAATTTTACGAACTTTAACCAAAATCCATGAGTACCGAAAAAAATATCCCAGGATCCCAGAAAAAACTTCCCGGGATTCGAATTTTTGATTTTTTTTTTTTTTCCCAGGAATTTCTCGGGAACAAATTCCTGGGAACAATACCTAGTAGACACTAGATCAAAAAAAATTAAAAGCGTTTTATAGATTTTTTTAACATCTTCGCTTCCAACAAGGCTGCAAGCAACCACTAATTAGTGTTGGAAGTTACTGGAAGAGAAAAGATTAAGATTGTAGAACAAGATAACGATTGACAGACGACTTAAAAGATTGTAAATTATATGAATCAGGAAAGCAAGATGAAGGAAGCGAATTCCAAAGAACTGATGTTCGAGGAAAAAAACTAGACAAATAAGAGTTTTTGGAGCACTTTGGAACAGTAACAGAAAAAGGATGAGACTTAATTGAATGACGAGTAACATGAGAATGAATTTTAGTAGATGGCACAAGAGACGCTAGCTCTTTAGAGCAGTGCCCATTATAGTATTTGTAGAAAAGAGAAAGAGAAGCAACATTACGACGATGTGACAGAGGTTGAAAGTTGGCTGCAAGAGCAGGTCCAACTATGTTTACAATGTGTTTTTGCACCTTGTCTAAAAGAGAAATGGCATCATTAGAAGATCCGCCCCAGATATGGCAACAGTATTCCATACAAGGTCGAATTTGAGATTTATAGAGATAGAGAATAGAATCCAGAGTAAGAAAGTGTCGAGCTCGATAAAGAGATGCAACTTTAGCAGATGCTAATTTTGCAACGGATTTGATATAAGGTTTCCTAGAAAGATCAGAAGTGATCCTAGAAGATGAAGGGTAGAAGATCCTAGAAGATGAAGGATAGATGACTCATCAAGTACATTTCCGTTCATAAATAAAGGAAGGTCTAAGTTATTGCGATAATGATTGGCTGAAAAAAATTGAGTTTTATCTGAATTAAAGTTCACCAGTCACTGTAAGCCCCATGCTGTAGCAGAGGTGAGATGCTTTTCAAGCTCAAATGCCCCCTGCAAGCAAACAGAGGGAGTTGGCTTCTTATCGTGACAAGAATAAATGGTAGTATCATCAGCGAACAATGCCACCTTAGATGTGAGAATATCTGGAAGATCGTTAATGTAAATTAAAAAGAGTATAGGGCCAAGGATTGAACCTTGAGGAACCCCTAAGGTTACAGAATAAGAAGAAGAGCGTTGTCCATCAAGGACAACTTTTATACTACGATTGGAAAGAAAGGATTCAATAGTCTTAAAGATTTTTCCAAATACACCGTAAGAAGAAAGCTTATGGAGAAGACCAGCATGCCAAACTTTATCAAACGCTTTAGAAATGTCGAGAGCGATGGCCTTAACCTCTCAACCTTTATCTAATGAACGATAAAACCTATCGGTTATTACTGTTAGCAAATCAGCCGTAGAATGAGAAGATCGAAATCCATATTGATGATCAGAAAGTAGGTTATGAGATTCAAGATGAGAGATTAAGTGTTTGTTAATTAAAGATTCAAAAACCTTGCTTATGATAGGAAGAAGACTAATGGGACAGTAGTTAGATGAATCGGATCGCTCTCCAGAATTTTTAAAAACAGGGATAACAGATGCTGCTTTCCAGCAGGCTAGAAAACAAGATAAGCACTTGTTAAATAGTTTTGAAAGAATAGACGACAGCTCCGGAGAACACTTCTGCAAGACTATAACAGGTATGTTGTCCGGGCCGCAAGCTGTAGAAGAGTCTAAGCAGGAAATCACTTTAGATACAGAATCTGGAGTGATATGGATGTTGAGCAATGGATCAACCTGTTTGACGGCTATATCAGGTAGAATGCAACTAGTGGAGTCAAGAGATGATATTGATGGAAAGTTCTTAGCAAACAATTCAGCTTTGTCTTTAGGTGAGGTGATAAAGTCTGAACCATACAAAAGAGGTGGAATTACAGACTTGCCCTTATTATTGATACTATTAAAGATTCTCCAGAAGTTGCGAGAGCCTAACTTTTGTGATGAATTACGAGACTCCATGATCTGAGAATAGCGGGCTTTGGCGTTAGACAAAACCTTTTTACAATGGTTCCTAGCAGTAATAAACAGACGTCTGTTTTCTGGAGAATTGTTTTGCTGATAGATATGGAAGTAGTGGTTTCGATTGGCAACTGCAGCAGCACAATGCAAGGAAAACCATGGAGAAGAGTGAGGCTTGACCTGGAATCGCCGAGAGGGAATAAAGGAATCAATGACAGCCTGAATCCACGAAGTTATGTAAGAAGCACATTTGTCAATAGGAAGACGAAAGATTTCTACCCAGGGGCCATCACAAAGAAAATCACGGAAAGAGTCCCAGTCAGCTTTAAAGTAGTTGTAAGATGTACGATGATAGGGGGATTCTGATTATTCCAAAATTAATTTTCAATTACCATTTTAAATGGGAAAAAAAAACTTTCTTTTTTATAAACTATTTTTTTCTTTCACAAAATAGTTCTAAAACTCACATAGAGCAATTTTGATTCCCTAAAATATTTTCTGGGAGTCACACCCCAGGACCCTCCTGGTGGAACTGAACCAACTTTACTAAACATACAGAACCTGAAATCTAAAAAATAATTTAAAGTTATTATTTAGACATTTGAAAAAAAAAACAACGTTTTTTTTTGCAACTCTAGTTTTACCCAATGGAAAAAATTTTATGATGCATTAATAAAAGAAAATTTAAAATTTATTTTATTAAAGTCTGGACACCAAGAACCAACCACTAACACAGAAAAAATTAAAAATAAAAAGTTGTAGATTAACAATTCATTTAAATTTCTCTTACAAAAATACATTATGGTATTATCAACTTGCATAAGCATATATTAAAAGAAAACTAACCAAAGTAAATGACTTATCACAAACTTACTGACCAAAGTAAATGACTTATCACAAAGATGCTGTGCTTTCTTCTGAAGCTCTTGTTTTAACAAATATCCAACATAGGAAGACTTCTAAAAATTTTAATTTACTATAAATTGTTTAATATACACAACAAACATGAAGAAAATCAAATATTTAGAGTAACCTGAGATTCTTCATAAATAGTAACGAGAAGTGCATATGGACCTGATCGAAATTTAGGAATATATTGCTTTGTTTTTCCATTAGCATCTGAGCCTATAAAATATTACACAACAGTCAGCAATAAACTCAAACAAACAAGAACATTAAATTGCTATTTCACCATTTGATATTTTTTTTAAATAAGGTACCTATAATAAAAATAAAATACCAGATTTAAAAAAAGTAACTATTATAAAACCTACACTGAGGACCGGCAAATGGCTTATCCAGCGAAGAACCACTAGATGCGTTAACAAGTATATTTTTCTTTGTTTTTTTTGGTGGGGAGCAAGGGGATTGAAGACTTGTATTCATCTGATGTAAACTTTTATAATCTATTACAAATAATATTTACTTATCTACTATATCTATAAAGAAAAAACAAAACTTAAAACAACATTAAAATTCTTTTTTAACATAAATCCAAATTGTTGCTTAGTAATGTCTATACCTCCTCCACTATCCAAATACTCTGCAAGCCTTTGATCAAGCTTCTTAGCTATACCATCCCCTAAAAATTTGACAATATTATAATATAATAATAATGCAGTAGTAGACTAGAGGTAGAACTTTTGACAAACAAGAGGTTCAAATACACCCTGCACCTCTGGAAGTATCCCACTCAACCTGTTTCTCTTGCAGTAGCCTTGTTTTATAAGTTTGGTGTTATGGAGTTTAGAGTTAATAGAATTTCAAACAAAATCGAAAAAAAAAAAGTAGCCTCCTCCACTGTAGTAACCCCATCTGGAACCTTTGAAAGGTGAACCTAATATATATATATATATATATATATATATATATATATATATATATATATATATATATATATATATATATATATATATATATATATATATATATATATATATATATATATATATATATATATATATATATATATATAAGATAAGCCAGGGGTACCTGACTCAGTCCAAGTTTTCCAGTTGTTTTTTCTAAATTAATAATAAAAGAAAGATTGGAGTGGAAAAACTCTATTTGAGTATGTTCTGATGGTGCAGCAGTGATGTTTACTATTATATCATTCATTGAGAAGTGTTCATAGCTAAAAAAATATCACTAAATCATGATGTGGTCTTAAATGATGCTATACATTTTATAAATTTTATAAAATGCCATTCAATCAATAGTTATTTGTTTGCAAATAAATGTAAGGATATGGGAGCTGATTATAAACAGCTTTTACTACAAACAGAAGAGTAAAGTGGTAGTCAAAAGGACAAGCCTTAAAACAGCTAATAGGGTTGAAAGATGAAGTATTAAGTTTGTATGATAAAACTCATGAGTTTTAAAAAAAAAAAAAATCATGGAAACCAAATGTGGAAAATGACACGTTTGTAATGTTTTTAAATAAATATGAATTTATCACTGAAAATTATTTGGATAATATTTTAGTTAATAAAATCATAATTATTCATTTGTCGTCTTTTTATTTAACATCTTCCCTTCAAACAAAGCTGCAAGCAATAACTATTGGAATTTACTGGAAGAGAAAAGATGAAGTTTATAAAGTAAGAGAACGATTAACAGACGACTTAAAAGATTGCAAGTTATATGAATCAGGAAAACAAGATAAAGGGGGCAAATTCCAAAGAATTGATGTTCAATAAAAAAACTAGACAAATAAGAATTTTTGGAGCACTTAGGAACAGTCACAGTAAAAAAATGAGACTTAATTTAATGACAAGTAATAGGATAATAAATTTAAGTAGATGGCGCAAGAGACACTAGCTCTTTAGAGCAGCGCCCATTATAGTATTTATAGAAAAGAGCAGTGACAACCATTGAAGATTGGCTGCAAGTGCAGGTTCATTTATGTTTACAAAGCATTTTTGCACCTTGTCTAAAATAGAAATGGCATCATTTGAAGATCCATTTCAGATATGGCAACAGTGTTCCATACAAGGAGGGATTTGAGATTTATAGAGATAAAAAATAGAATCTGGAATATTTTATTTAAAGATGTAACAAAGATAAGTTATTAACATCAAGAGAATTCTTCATGCATTAAAGAAACATGTCCCTGGTAGCACCACACTTAACTTGTTTCTTAACGCAGTAACCTTTTTGATCAAGATTGTTTAAAGTTTGTATTAACAAGGAAAAATAAAAATTGACTACACTCCTTGATTTTAGTATATCATCGTTATTAGAGATTAATTACTAATACAGTAAAAATAAATTTTAAATCAAAAAAGCTTTTACTAAATAAATAAAATAATTTCTCGTAAACTGAAGAATAGCTTTGTTGAGTTATTACTTTTTTTTATACGGCTTGTTATCAAATAAATTGTTTACAAAAAGGTGATTACATATTATGCATTCAAAACTCTTTTTAAAACTCTTTTTTTTTTTTTTTTTTTTTTGTATCAAAAACGAATTTAAACAACAACATTTAAAATATCTAATTAGTTTTTTCATTTAAAAGAAAAACAGATGAAAAAGTAGAAAAAAAAACACGATTGAAAATACACACTAACATACAAACAATATTTGTAAAATCTAACATTTTTATACCTATATTTTCAAGGATCTTTGCCTCTTTACCTGATCTCAAAGGCAGCGGATACTTTTTAATAGAGGATATAGCCTAGAAAAAAATGACATCTTATGTCTAAGAAATGACCTAATAAAAATTATGATAAATAGTTTAAACAACAACAAAAAAATCACAATTTATGTAACTTTGATGTTTTGCAGTGATATACTGTATTTTCAAAAGACTACGAATATACATTTAAAGATTTAAAAATACATATTCAAATCTTTAAAAAACATAGTATGTAACTAGAAAACCTGTCAAAAATCGAATATTTAAAAAAAAATATTTTCACACTTATTACGAATAAATAAATAAATACATAGGTTTACCCACAGTCACAGCATTTTGCCAGAATAATAGATAAAGTTGGCAAAACACTTGCTCAGCTATGCAACAAACTATAATATTATTAACATTTTAAATATTATTATTCAAGAGTTTTTAATTTAAAATTCAAGAGTTTTCTGGTGGAATAGTTCACCATTCACCATTAAATAAAATTGTAATGGTTTATTTCATAGTTATGTTTTTTTTTATCACAGATGATATTTGGAAGTATACTCCTAAATTTAGGACCATAGTGGGATAATGCTCAATTACCAAAACGATTACTGGATTTTGTTTCCTTTGATTTTAGTGTTATTTCTGACACTGGGTAGTAAATTAAATTGCATAGTTGGTGCTTCCAGAATAATAGATATGTACATTATTAATGATTACATTATTACTATAATATATATTTATAATGATGTGCATTATTACTAATGAAAAGCTCAAGAAATTGTTTTTAATATTATTATTAACTAAAAATTAAAGTTGACATCTTTTTCTTACAATTTATTTTTAATAAACATCAACCTTAAAAAAATAAACAAAATTTAATAGTTTTTAACATTACTATTTTAATAACTATGTCATTGGTTAATTACCTATGTACTTAAATAAAACATTTTCAGTACATGAAGTTTTTTATGAAGCACTTTCTTTTTTTTTATAAACTAGTTTCTGATTGTAGGTAGTTTTTTATGAAGCACTTTCTGATAGTATTTTTTTTGTTAACTAGTTTCTGATTGTATGTAGTTTTTTATGTAGTAGTTTACAATGATTTGTATCTACTAAGATACAAACCATTGTAAACTACTACATAAAAAACTACATACAATCAATGAGTTTATTGTTAATTTTGTTTGAAAAAAATTGAATGAGGTTGCAAGAGCTAATAGAAATACACAAAAGACAATTTTATTGGCCTGTTACCATTGCTAACCAAATTATTAACACAAATTTATGGTATGCCAGAACCCTTTTGTTTTCGATTATGTCTTTAAAGTCTGTCAGCACCTGTTTGTCTTAATTTCTATACATATTTGTCTTTTTTCTATACCTGTCCATCATTTTTCTTACTTTTTTTACATCTGCATACAAAATTTTATATGGTTTATATAAAATTTGATATGGTTTATATAAAATTTTATATTGTTTATATAAAGCAAACAAGCCCAATATTTGATTGGGTTTGTTACATTTTTTAGAGCATTCTTGATATAAAATAGATGATTTTTTAATTGAAAACAAAATCACTAATCAAAAGACAAGTTGTATTTATTCTAAAAAGAAAAATTTGAAAATGTTTAATTTATCTCAACATATTTCAAATAATTTATAAAAAATACATTTACAAAAAATAATAATAATAATATAAACACTTTTTTTTCTTTATTCTGTAAAGCATCTTTAGACTACTTTTTAAATGAATAATTTTAATAAAAACTTAGGTGGATTTAAAAAAAAAATCATGAAAATTTAAAGTCAATTATAAAACACAAAAAACTTTCCTGTGTTTAATGTATGAATTAATTTTTTAAAAAAATAAAATTACTTTGGGAATTAAAAACCTTGTAAAATTTATGTGAGGGAGAAACTCAGCAACAAGTATGTAGTATAATTTTCAGTAAAAAAAAATATTCTTAATTATTTAAAAAATAATACACTTTGAATAGTTAAAATTATAAAACAACAGAAATATAAAATAGTTGTGTTAATGAATGACAATCATTATTATCTATTATTACATGAATAACAATTTTTATATATTATTTAAAAATTTTCATATATTATTTATATTTATGATTTTTAATAAAAATTGGTATTTGGTTATAAAAATGATATACTTATTAAAATGTGAATTACATTTTTTATATAATAGTAGTAAAAATAATAACAATAATAATAAAATTAATAATAATTTATTTTTAAGTTATTAAATAGTTAATTTTAAATGTTTTTCATAAGATAAATTGTTGCATTTCTGGTATTAATTTTATAGCTTGTCTTAGTATGTTTTCAAGTATAATTATATCTTTTTTCATTACATTTTTTCATGTATATCTTTTCTCCATATTTTTTTTATATATTACTTATTTTTTACTACTTTATTATTTTATTTAATATTAAGTGAATAACAATAGCATTTAAAAAAGAACAAGCATCAATTGACGCTTTAGAAAATGAAATGTAATTTAGAACACTACAGAAGGCTTTAAAAATAAACTAGGGTTTTAGAATTTGAAGAGCAGACATGTTGAACTGCAATTTTTTCACAGCTCAACTCCAGACTCCTTTTAAATTAGGAAAAAGTTTTAGAAAAGTAAAAAAGATAATTATTCTATCAACTTTTTTTATCTTCTGATTTTAAGTAGACTTAAATAAATAGAAAGAAAGTTAGACTTAAATAAATAGAAAGACTAGACTTAAATAAATCAAAAATTTAATTATAAAAATAAAAAAGTTTGAATCAATTTGATATCAAGGCTTGTTTTGTTTAACATCAAGAGTTTGGCTCACTTAAGTTATTTTTGTGTGCTAGTTGGAAAATAGAAGTAAAAAGCATTATCCCCTCCATAAGAAAAACATTCTCTTCATAAGAATAAATAAGCAACAATGCTTACATTTGGTAAGTTTAAAAACATGTTTACATTAAGAGCTCTTATTTAAATCTGGAACCGATTCTTGATGAAATTCCATTTTACACTAGTAAAGCATACAATAATTTAAAAGTAATTAACGTAATACTGTTTGGTATAATTTATTTTTTCTTTCTTGCAAGTATAATTAGTAAGTAGACATTCAGGGTTCAGAGATCAAGATTTGGTTTTAATAGTCTCCGATATCCAGTTACTAAGAATTTTTGAAATCGTTAAAATGAGCTATATATTACAAATTATTTATTAAATTTTAACTGGTATTATTTTATGTTTTTTTTTAAACACTTGTAAACAACTGTTTACAAGATCTATGATAATGAACTTATAAAGCTTTTCACAAACAAAAAAAAATTAACCATGATTGAATTTATAACAAAGATATCCCAGGTGAAATAATATATAATTTCTGTAAAATAAATGCAGTAGAAACAATTTGCTCCTAAAAGCTGTCAATTAGATCTAATAACACAACTTTTGAGCCTAATCTAGAAATGATTAGTGGTTGTTTGTAGATGGCAATATCTGTTATCAAAGTAGTTCTTAATGACATTGTCTTAAATTAGAATTGTAAAATAATAAAACTTACATACTTACTCCTTCTTAGTGATTTCAACAGTGACCAATCAGCACTGAGAATACAGAGATACAGTTTGCAAAAACAAAACAAAAAATGTTACACTGATTTATCATTCAAAAAACTTTACAATTGCAAGAATCAACCACATCTATCAGGATATCATGAAACTGAACTTATATAAATATACAAAATACATCAAGTGTATCTATAAGCAGGAATTATCAAACTATTAGCAGCAGAAAAGAAAAAAATTTCCTTCATAAAAAACTTTTCTAGAAAGGAATTCCTTACACATATATTCATGATAAAGAGTAAGAAGGTGTGACCAATGTAGAAGACTGATGAGATTAACAAATAAGCTTAGAGATCATCTTCTTGAAGATCTGAGAAGTCTAACTCATGCATTAGCAAGATTCTCAGCATATAATTTGAACAAGCAATAGACATTTTTGTTATTTTTTCATGCTGCCTTATATATCAAAACAATTACCAAGTACCGAGCTGTATATACTTTGCCATATAAATAACTAAAAAAGTAAATTTTTAATAATCTTTATCATGTTTTTTGTATTAAGAACAAAATACGGCATATAGTATTTAATTAATACAAAATATTAAACAAAAATCATTAGAAAGTTACAGGATTCAGTATGTATCATAGACAGCAATTGTTTAAATCCAGATCACAAGAACAGGAAGAAAAAAATTTGATAACAGAAATTCCCTTACTTTATGTAGCTATTTTTAATAAAAGATATGATTTATACTCTGTATAAAATTAGTTAAAATTGTATAACTAATAAAACAATTGTACATTGACACAAGAAAATATAAAATAAAAATAGATATATTAAAATTTATTAAAAACTTTTTTGTGATAATTATTATTTAAATAATTATTATAGTCAATATATGATTTTAATCGCAGTTACGCCAAATCAAGTAATTAACAAGTTTCAGTCTATTTTCTACTAAGCATATTTTCTATTATATATAATCACCTTAGAGTATGTCCATTTAGAATTTAAACCTTTTTCCTCTGCATCTTTTTGCCACTCTTCAAGCCACAAAAGAAACATTGGATTTGCACAACTTTTTCTACTTTTCCGAGACATGACATTTTACTTTAAATACATGTTTGTCAATAAATTGTTAAATTGTTATACGCACAAAAACCTTTATGCAAACTGTCTAAAAATTCTTATCTTATTCTACACACTTTTTTAAACACTTTTAAATAAAACTTTTGCTTTTATTTTTAAAGTTCTTCAATAAGTTTATTCATTTAGAAAAAAAGGGTCAAAGTCCATCCAAAACTACCACATACTACACCAGAACTAACAATTAGTTGGAAATATAAAATTGTTTATTGGAATGATAAACTTATTATTAAAACTAATAATGTTGTAATATAGTTATAATACAATTAATTATTACTTAGAACAACTAATATCAGCTAATGCTAGTTGTTTTGAAGAAACACTTATAGCAAGTGGGAGATCCAATCCTGATAATTGTTATTAAAGTCAAAAAAATACTGTAAAGAAACTGCTATAAAAGAAAAAGGAAAGTGTTTTTTGAGCATCAGCAAATTATACTGGATAACTTGCTGGTACTAAATTATTTGGATACTCAACAAAATCTCTATCTATAAGATTCTTTAAAAAAGAATTCACAACTAAGACGCTATTAAGGTTTCTCTCCCCTCTTCCGTTTTTTAATAATTGATTGTGAAAGAGGATTTCATGCTGATTAAAGATGGCAAAAAAATATTAGTTTGAAAATCAAAAGAAAGTGCTCTTATTGATATTGAAATTTAATAAATTAGACTAAAAAATGCTAATATTTGCCATCTTTTCTATACTTGGTAATGAATAAAATTTCTTTTTAAAAACAGCCTGGTTTTTATTGATACTAAAAAGCCTATTGTAAGTTTATGCATTTAAATGCACCAACCCCTATTTCTCAATAGATATTTTTAAATATGTGTATATATATATATATATATATATATATATATATATATATATATATATATACATATATATATATATATATATACATATAAATATATATATATATATATATATATATATATATATATATATATATATATATATATATATATATATATATATATATATATATATATATATATATATATATATATATATATACTCATAAAAACATTTAACTTAATTTAAACAAAATTTTGACAAAATAAAAACTGGGTCATGTAAATAAAAAAAGATTTTCTAAAGAACCGATAGCTAAATAAAAGTATAACAGTGGTAAAAAAATGTTTTTAAAAGATTAGCATTATTTAGTGTAATTTTTTAAACTTCAAAATCCAATTAGAGCACTTGCTGTTGATTTTCAGACCTATGTTTTTAAACAAATCTTAATTAGCATAAAATTCTCTATCATAATCAACTATAAAAAAGAGGGGTTGGGGTGGAGAAACTGCAGTAAAATTAAAATTAAAAGATGTCAAAACTTATAACTAGCACCCACAAATTAAAAGATGTATAAACTTAATAAAAATATCTATTTAACTGAAAAGTTATATATAAACGTATAAATAATTAGTGAGCTAAAATATATAAAACAAATAAAATAAAATTTAAAATGATAAATAAAAATTTTCCAGTTCATCATCTAAAAGTTTTTCCAGGGTGATTATATTTTTAGGAAGGTGGTCTGTCAATATAATTCCTCGTTCTGCATTTATATTTAGTTCATCAATATACCCAAACCAATAAATTACTAATCCAGGACCAAAGCGGTTTGTATAACTCCAAAACTGATTTTCTAAATAGCTTTTATGGGAATCTTCTGTGCCAAACAATGCTTTGCATTCTATCCAATTTATAACATAGTTATTAATACTAATTGGAAGAATAAGTTTAAAATCAGGAGTTTTATCATATCCTTCTTTCCTCAAAGTTTCTTCTTGTGCATATGGTATATTTTGTTCATGTAAAAAATCTGACACAATTTTTTCATACTTAAGACCTGTTTCATGCTTAATTTTTTCAGTGGTTGGTCCATAAACATCGTCCTCTTGATTGCATATTTCTACTTCTCTAGATAAAATGTCGTCTGAAATTTGTTTAGGCTCTTTCATATGCTTAGATAAGAAACTTTTTGATACTTCTTGCTTTAGATTATGCTTATAAAATTGTTCTAATATAATACGTGCATACAAAGATGGAGGATAGTTGTGTTCAACAGCTTGTCTGTATAAAAAACCTTTAGAATTTGCATTTAAGGCACTAGAACAATATTGCCTAAAATATTTTTCAGCATTTCGCAAATGTTTATGACAAATACTTTTCACCTTATTATGATAATATTGACTATATATACTTATTAGCGTGCCTTCTGAAATATTGGGGAACTTTAATTTTAAAAAATGCATCGATTCGTTCATTTTATTTGAATCAAGGACATATATAATTTCCTTATAAACTTCAATTTTCATTTATCTTATTAGCTGATATCAAAACAGAAATACTATTTTAGCGTAAATATAAATCAAAATTGCCGCCATGAAATTTGTTTACAGTGTTTTGTGCAATTAAATTTAAACGTTAAATCCGGAAAAAATAAAATAAAAAAAAATCGAAGTTTTTTTTTATTTTATTTTTATATATGGAAAATGTAATCTAATCAATAAAATATTTTTTATTTTTTAGTCCATATATATTTCAAAAAAATAATTTAACTATATGCAAGTATTCAAAAATTATAGATTGATGGTATAGATATATAAAAAATAAATATCATAATCATTAAGTCCAAAATATACTTGGTAAATATCCAAGTAAGACAATTCCGAGTATAATAAAGAAAATATTACAAGATGATATAAAATACGACAATACAATATATGTAAACATCTAAATATTTCTAGTATGTATTTCTATATTTTTCCGATTAAAGTAATTTGTTAACATCGAATAAAATTCTGCATTTTATCCGGTTGTTTCATTTTATACTTGACGCATAGTAGGGGAAGTTGGAAAACATTTGACAATCGGGAACATTGGGGAGTATTTCCTGAAATGCCTAAAAATACCGCATGGAACTTTTCATAATGCTTTGTCTGTTACAAATATTAATCCATCTTTAAGAGAATTTGTTGGGGAGAGTGGAGCGCCATGATGCATGGGGTACCATGAAACATTATAATTTCATACAGTGAAACAGTTACTTCTAGAGCTTTTTTGACAAAAGCATTATATCATTTGATATAATCAGGATTGCGAAGGGTTGAATTTTGTGTTTTTTTGTTGATAAAGTAATTTATGAATTTTTAAAGTTTTTATGTTTTAAGGTATGTTATTCAATACCCAGTAAGCACAGGACGTTTTTTAAACGTTTTAATTCCGTTCAATTTACGGTCGGACGTTAAAAGAACCAATACAATCGTTTTTAAAACGTTTTTTTGCAAACGTTTTTTTTAATGTTAATTTAAACGTTTTTTTAGCGTTTTTTAAACGTTTTATTTTTTTAATTAACTTACGAAATTTCTCAGTTAGCTTATGAACGTTTTTAAAACGTTTTCTTAACGTGATAAAAAAACTTTTTTTAAACGAACAGGACGGCAATATTTAAAAGAGTATGTTAACGCAAATAATGGCGTGACCTTCGATTAGGCGAATTGATTTATTCAAGTAAAAATTATATAAATTAGTATATATTTAAATCAACCAAGTGTTTTTATTGTTTTTTTGTAGAATTAAATTTGAAAATATATTGGAGTATTTTTAGTTTAAAGTTGTATGCCTTTGTTAAAACTTGGTTGTGTTTGTATTTCTACTTGAATCAAGTAGATGTGATTAATAAATTTTTTATAAAGAAATTACTATAGTTAAAAAAGGCTGAAATTAAAAAATATGATGATTTATTTCAAGAAAGGGAGTGACTTACTTCAAAATGTCATTTTAAAATTTTTATTCTTTAATGATATTCTGGTCTTAATACCAAATGTTTAGCAGTATGAAACCTATAATGTTATATACCATATTATATACCCTATTATACTTATAAAGTTAATAATCTGTAAAGTAATTTGTAAAAATTTTTTAATTGTAAAATTGCTACACGAGAAGACAAGTTGTTAGATGAAATTCAAATATTCTCTATGTTTGTGTTGTGTAGGTCAAAAAATAATAAACAAAGATGATATTGATTGTGATGACCAAAAGATTTATTTTAAGACACATCAATCTTCATCATCTTTAAATAAAAAGGATAAACATTATGGATTTCCATTATCTCAAGCAAGTAAGTCTTTAGTTAAAAATAATATTGTAATGTTTGTTGTAAAATGCTAACATGACTGTCAATATTAAAAAACATCATTAAAATGATGAGGTTCCAATTTTAACTTGATATAATCAACTTTATGAAATCCATTATTTCAATATTATCAAAACTATAAATCTATGGAACAATCTTTCTTGTCTAATCCGAAATCTGAGAAAAATGCTAATATATATAATATAGCATTGCCACTGTTAGGTATTTTACTGTCAATTAGTTTTTCTCTGATTTAGGGTTAGACCACTAAAGTTGTTAAATTGTTAAATTTATGTATTTTAAATTTATTTACGTAGTTTAATTAAGACAATGTAAAATTTAATTAGTGTAAATTTGTTTAGACTTTCAATATTATGTGTTGCTTCTCTTAAATGAGATAAAAACCCAAGGATGCAAAAAACTTAATATAAAATAGTGTGAAGAAGAAGTACAGTAAATGAACAGCATAATAGAATTTGATAAGTTTGACTCAGCACTTGACAATGTTTCATCTAGTAACTCGTAGTATCTCTGCAGTTGTAAATTGCTAAGTACTGATTTGACAGATTTTTTTTTTTTTTTTTAATTTTCTTTACAATATATAATTTTTACTACTTAATTAGGAATTGTCAGATTTCCATTATTTCTTTCTATTACAAACAAAGAGTTCAAAATATTAGTGGTAAGAACAGTCAAAAACTTGTAATAGCTACGATGAAGAGGTTAGTAAATTAAAAGTGCATTCCTATAAATACTCTGTTTAATTTTATAATGATATTACTCCCATCTTACAATCCATTATACAAATCCCATGCATGGCTCTACGTTAGCCGTTTTACAATAATGGGATGACTGAATAACCGTGAATTTCATACGCGTAAACTAGCACATGTGCGAAGCAGTTACAAAAACTGGCACAATGCCAAATGGCATAAGTGCAAATGGGCTCAACTGCACAAAAAGAATTCCAAACATTGGCATAAGTGCAAACTGCTATAAGTGCAAACTGACAAACATTCGCATAAGTGTGAATTGCCATAAGTGGGAACTGGTATAAGTGTAAAGCAGTTGCAAAAACTCGCAAAAGTGCAAACAACATAAATGCGAACTGGCATAAGTGTGCCAAATAAATTTGCAAAATTTAGCATAATTCTAAAGTGCAAATTTATTACACGCATTTATGTCAGTTTGCACTTCTGCCAGTTTTTGCAACTGTTTTGTACTTATTCAAATTTTGCACTTATGCCTATTCGTAATGTTTGCTAACCTGTTTGGCGCACTAATGCCAATTTACACTTTTTCCAGTTTGCAAGTTTAAAGCTATAGGTTATCCTATAGCTTTAAACTTTAGTCCCGATAATTCTTTTAACCCAGATAATATTTATATATATGACTACACTAATGGTTAGTGTACACTTATGATCTGGACTACATTAATGGTTAGTGTGCTATTTTTTAAATAATAGATTAGATTTAATTAATAGATAAACTGTATCGTTAAATTAAAATCTAAATGTTTAATTACATTTAGATTTTATGAAAAAAAAGAAAAAAATTTTAAATACAGTAGTTAATTATAATTTCATAAATTATAAGATATAATATTATTAAAATATATTATTTTTAGTTTTATGACAAATTCGCTCATGGCCAAATCTAATATGGCAGCTAGAAAAGGCAAAGGATCTTTTTAGCCTAACCAAGCTATACAACTTAATAAAAGGTACGTTTATATATATATATATATATATATATATATATATATATATATATATATATATATATATATATATATATATATATATATATATATATATATATATATATATATATATATATATATATATATATATATATATATATATATATAGGTCAGGTCAGGTTTTCCTGCTACTGGTAACATGTAACCCAAGGTCAGGTCAGGTTTTCCTGCTACTGGTAACATGTAACCCAGTACAACCTGCTCCATGTCCTGCTGCCTTGTAGGATACGCTTTTTTAGGCAAAGGCTAGGAGAAGTTAACTCCGAATTAAAACACCCCCTGCCTTGGGGCTCTTGGTTGAGTAAAGGCTAGAGATGGTGTCTCGATAAAAATACTCATCTTGGGCAGATGTTACATGCATTCAGCTGCTGTCTTGTAGAAGGCCTCCTAGGCAAAGACTTAAGGGGTAAACAGATTCTATCTGTTGACCAGCCTCGCACCCCTTCCTCATCTATTAGGCTGGCGCAGATGTATTCTTAATACATTGTTTCCAGTTTAGGATGTTGAACGCTGGATCTTCTTGACTCAATGCGTGGGTATTGCTTGTGTCTCTATTTTTATGACTGGGCAACTCATTCTATTATCTCCTAATGAGGGTACAGCTCTAAAACTCAGTTTTATGGTTCTGAGGCCGGCTGGTAGTCAGGTTTCCCGAACTCTGTGGTAGCTCTCAGAGAGGCTGATTCCATCAACAGCCGAAAAATATCAGAGTACTAACAGTGCCATGTTGCGCATGGATGGTGTCCCTGTTTGTACTTTTGGTGTGCATTGCAGAGGCCACATTTGGAGCCCTTTGTTACGGCTTAGGGTTTATTAAGAGTAATGAGGCTATTGCTTAGTTGTTAAATAGTGTACTGAGTACTATCTATACTTGAGTCAAGTTCTTTATAAATTTAAAATGACTAAAGTACCTAAAACTAAAAAACACAAAAAACCATTGTCATCACCAAGTTCTCTAAACCTATCATTTACTAATATTCGTGGTCTTCGAAGTAACTTTTCTTCTGTTGAGTCTTATCTCTTGCAAAGTTCACCAGACCTACTTGCTCTTTGTGAGACTAATTTAAGTTTGGCTGTCCCATCTTGTGATCTTAGTGTTGATGGTTATCTTCCTTTAATTCGTAAAGACTCCAATAATCACATGCTTGGCCTGGGCATCTACATTCGTAAGAACTCACCCATTTGTCGTGAAACTAGGTTTGAATCTACAGACTATTCATTTATGTGCTTTCGTTTAGCACAACTTCACTCTATCGCCTTTCTCTTTGTTCTATATCGCTCTCCTTCATCCCAAGATTGCACTATTCTTGATGTTATTTCGGATCAAATTGACCAAGCCCTCTCTCTTTATCCATCGGCCAATATCGTCGTTGTTGGTGACTTTAATGCCCATCACACCGATTGGCTTGGCTCTAGTGTCAGTGACTCTGCTGGCGATAAGGCCCTCAACTTTTGCCTTTCTCAATCTCTAACTCAAATAGTCAACTTTCCAACTCGTTTTCCAGACAACCCTAATCATTTACCTTCTCTACTCGACTTATGTCTTGTTTTGGATCCTAGTCAGTGCTCAATTTCTCCACATTCACCCTTAGGTACTTCTGATCACGGTTTGATCTCTCTAAAACTATTATCAAATTCTTCTACTTCATCAGAATCCCCCTATCATCGTACCACATACAACTACCTTAAAGCTGACTGGGACTCTTTCCGTGATTTTCTTCGTGATGGCCCTTGGGTAGAAATCTTTCGTCTTCCTGCTGACAAATGTGCTTCTTACATAACTTCGTGGATTCAGGCTGGCATGGAATCTTTTATTCCCTCTCGATGATTCCAGGTTAAGCCTCACTCTTCTCCTTGGTTTTCCTCACATTGCGCTGCAGCAATTTCTAATCGAAACCGTTACTTCCATATCTATCAGCAAAACAATTCTCCAGAAAACAGACATCTGTTCACTATCGCCAGAAACCATTGTAAAAAGGTTTTGTCTGACGCCAAAACACGCTATTCCCAGGTCATTAAATCTCGTATCTCATCACAAAAATTAGGCTCTCGAGACTTCTGGAGAACCTTTAACAGTATCAATAATAAGGGCAAATCTGTTATTCCTTCTCTCTTGTATGGTTCAGACTTTGTCACCTCACCTAAAGACAAAGCTGAATTGTTTGCTAAGAACTTTTCATCAATATCATCTCTTGATTCCACTAGTTGCGTTTTACCTGACATAGCCGTCAAACAGGTTGATCCCTTGCTTGACATTCGCATCACTTCAGCTTCTGTATCTAAAGTAATTTCCTGCTTAGACTCTTCAACAGCTTGTGGTCCTGACAACATTCCTGTTGTAGTTTTGCAGAGGTGTTCTCCGGAGCTTTCATCCATACTTTCTAAACTATTTAACAAGTGCTTATCAGAGTCTTGTTTTCCATCATGCTGGAAAGCAGCATCTGTTATCCCTATTTTCAAAAATTCCGGAGAGCGATCTGATTCATCTAACTACCGTCCCATTAGTCTTCTTCCTGTCATAAGCAAGGTTTTTGAATCTTTAATTAACAAACACTTAATCTCTCATCTTGAATCAAATAACTTACTTTCTGACCATCAATATGGATTTCGGTCTTCTCGTTCTACAGCTGATGTGCTAACAGTAATAACCGATAGGTTTTACCGTGCATTAGATAGAGGTGGAGAGGTTAAGGCTATCGCACTTGACATTTCTAAAGCTTTTGATAAAGTTTGGCATGCTGGTCTTCTCCATAAGCTTTCTTCTTATGGTGTAGCTGGTAACGTCTTTAAGATTATTGAGTCCTTTCTTTCCAATCGTAGTATAAAAGTTGTCCTCGATGGACAACACTCTTCTTCACATCCTGTAACTTCAGGGGTTCCTCAAGGTTCAATCCTTGGCCCTATACTCTTTTTAATTTACATTAATGATCTTCCAGATATTCTCACATCTAAGGTGGCATTATTCGCTGACGACACTACCATTTACTCTTGTCATGATAAGAAGCCTACACTCTCTGATTGCTTGGAGGGGGTATCTGAGCTTGAAAAGGATCTCACTTCTGCTACAGCATGGGGCTCACAGTGGCTGGTGAACTTTAATTCAGATAAAACTCAATTTTATTCGGCCAATCGTTATCGTAATAATTTAGATCTTCCTATATTTATGAATGGTAATGTACTAGATGAGTCATCTACCATTCATCTTCTAGGATTAACTCTTACTTCTGATCTTTCTTTTAAACCGTATATCAAATCCATTGCAAAATTAGCATCTGCTAAGGTTGCATCTCTTTATCGAGCTCGACACTTTCTTACTCCAGATTCTATTCTCTATCTCTATAAATCTCAAATCCGTCCCTGTATGGAATACTGTTGCCACATCTGGGGCGGATCTTCCAATGATGCTCTTTCTCTTTTAGACAAGGTGCAAAAACGAATTGTAAACATAGTTGGACCTGCTCTGGCAGCCAATCTCCAACCTTTGTCACATCGTCGTAATGTTGCTTCTCTTTCTCTTTTCTACAAATACTATAATGGGCACTGCTCTAAAGAGCTAACGTCCCTTGTGCCATCTACTAAAATTCATTCTCGTGTTACTCGCCATTCAATTAAGTCTCATCCTTTTTCTGTGACTGTTCCTAAGTGCTTCAAAAACTCTTATTCTTCTAGTTTTTTTCCTCGAACATCAGTTCTTTGGAATTCGCTTCCTTCATCTTGCTTTCCTGATTCATATAATTTGCAATCTTTTAAGTCATCAGTCAATCGTTATCTTGCTCTACAGATTTAGTCTTTTCTCTTCCAGTAACTTCCAACTCTTATAGTGGTTGCTTGCAGCCTTGTTGGAAGTGAAGATGTTAAAAAAAAAAAAAAAAAATATATATATATATATATATATATATATATATATATGTGTATATATATATATATATATATATATATATATATATATATATATATATATATATATATATATATATATAAATCTATATATAACAATTATTAGGCGGGATTGTATTTCTAATTTACCGAATACTAACCTGTTTCCTTTTTTTCTCCTCTTCAAGCACTGTGTATATATATATATATATATATATATATATATATATATATATATTTATATATATATATACACTTACTTAAATGTGTTTTGATAAGCATTTGCTTACTTTTTCTGCTTACCTTAAGCTTTACCGTTTTTTTCAAAAAAGAAGAAAATACGAAGAATGATGAATAAAACGATTGCTTTCCCATCCCAAACTCTCAGTCGATGTATGTACTGAAGCCCCCAGCAGCAGGCTATTTCAGTATGACATCAGATTGCTTACTTTAGTACGCAATACTATTTGTATATATATATTATATTTGTATATACATATTATATTTGTATATACATATTATATTTGTATATACATATTATATTTGTATATACATATTATATATATATATATATATATATATATATATATATATATATATATATATATATATATATATATATATATATATATATATATATATATATATATATATAATATGGCTAGTGATTGCCAAAGGGCAATAATTAATTATAAAACAAGCAGATTTTTTTTTTTTTTTTTTGTTTATTCTAAGGTTGATATGATTTAGAAAAAAAAATCAAAAACATTAGGACAAGTCAAGAATTCAGAATCCAAAGAGGAACCTCAAGATATCATCAAAATCAAAAAACATTTTTTTTTACTTTGTTCTTATGAATAATAGACATCAATTCGTGTCTCAGGAAAATTTATATATATATATATATATATATATATATATATATATATATATATATATATATATATATATATATATATATTAGGGTGGCCCTTATAACAACTTTTTTGATAAAAACCTGCTCCCACCCCCTAAATGTGTTCTATCTAAATCAAAAAACACTAGGTTTAAAATTTTTTTGATTAAAAAATATTTTAAGGGGACCCTCAAAACCCTCAAATATTTAATGGGTCCCTAATATTTTCAAAAAAAAAGTTTTTCAAAAATATGTCAACGTGGTACTCAAATAAAGCGAAATTATATAAAATTTGTAAAATACTTATTTATTAAAATGATCTTATTTATTAAAATTAATTATTTAACTTATTTATTAAAATGATCATAAAAATACATAATTTTTTTTTTCATTTTTTGTTAGAAAATGTAATTTTTTAAGTAATAAAACCAAAAATAATTTTTTTTTTTAAATGAATATTATTTTTGAAATTTTATATAATTTTGCTTCATTTGAGTACCAGGTTAGTATATTTTTGAAAAACTTTTTTTTGAAACATTAGGGACCAATTCAATATTCGAGGGATCCTCTTAAAATATTTTTTATTTAAAAAAATTTTAAACCTACTGTTTTTGTATTAGATATAACACATTTAGGGGGTGGAAGCAGGTTTTTTTCAAAAAAGTAGTTTCAAGGGCCACCCTATATATATATATATATATATATATATATATATATATATATATATATATATATATATATATATATATATATATATATATATATATATATTTATTTATATATCTATATATATATATCTATATATATATATATATATATATATATATATATATATATATATATATATATATATATATATATATATATATATATACATATAAATATATATATATATATATATATATATATATATATATATACATATATATACATATATATATATATATATATATATATATATATATATATATATATATATATATATATAGATATATATAGATATATATAGATATATATAGATATATATAGATATATATAGATATATATAGATATATATAGATTTATATTTATTTATTTGTTTATTGAGATTATGAGCCAATAAGTTTTTGTGTAATAGTTGAAATTATTAATCCTAATAACACTTTAATAATTGGTTTATTAAATTAGTGTGGTATATCAAAGGATAGAAAATTTAAAATACTAAATAGTGGTGTAAATAACTCCATACTGCCAAAAATGGAGTGCATTTCCCTTGTATACCCATCTCGCAAAACTACCGCAAAGCAGGATTGGTTCTAAGTTTGGGCAAGTTAGTCCAATTGTTTCGCGACGGCTTGAAATCCTACATGGAGAAAAACCATGACGTTCATCTGACAGCAAGCACAGTTATAAAATGCCTGCAGCAAGCTGGTTTGAATGGGAGAATTGCTGCAAAGAAGCCTTTATTGCGACCTGATAACATTGCGAAAAAAAGAGTATTCGCGAAGTTGCACAAAACCTGGACTGTCGTACAATGGAAAAAAATGCTATGGAGTGATGAAAGTACCTTTACTGTTATCTGTGGAGCTAAAAGAGCTTATGTTAGGAGAATAGTTAGTGAATGATTTCGTCTTCTGTGTGTTGGTGAATGATTTAGTCCTCTCATACAGTAAAGCATGGAGGAGGCTCTCTTATGGTATGGGGTTGCATGTCAGAATCAGGTGTAGGTCATTTATATTGTTGTACAGGCACGGTAAACCAGGATAAATATTTGGAATTATTAAAAACACAAATGAAACCATCAGCAAACAAACTATTTGGTAAAAACAAACCATTTTTCTTTCAACAGAGCAATGCTCCTTGCCACAAAGCTAAGAAAGTAATGGAATATCTCAAACATGCTCGTACCAATGCTATTGAATGGCCTCCACAAAGTCCTGACCTGAACCCCATTGAAAATTTGTAGGAGGAGCTCTTCAGAAAAGTACAGAAAACCAAACCCAGCAATCTGGATGATTTTTGGCAACATTTGCAAGCTGCATGGCTAGCAATCCCTGTTGACACCATCCAAAAGTTGGTACAGTCTATGCCAAGACTTGTGCAGGCCGTGCTTGATGCGCATGGAGGGCATACAAAATACTAGTCTTTTAGTCAGAATTTTTTATGTTTTATTAGTGGCACTTATTACTGACAATGCAGAGTCATTTTTATTTCAATGTGATGCTGTTTTATTTATATTGTGCCAAAAATGTATATACATATATATATATATATATATATATATATATATATATATATATATATATATATATATATATATATATATGTATATATATGCAATGTGATACAAAATACAAAAATATTTAAACTTCAAATTTATATATATATATATATATATATATATATATATATATATATATATATATATATATATAGTGTGTGTGTGTGTGTGCATATATATGTATATATATATATGCAATGTGATACAAAATACAAAAATATTTAAACCTCAAATTTATATATATATATATATATATATATATATATATATATATTTATATATATATTTATATATATATATATATATATATATATATATATATATATATATATATATATATATATATATATGTATATATATATATATATATATATATATATTTATATATATATATATATATATATAAATATTTATATATATATATATATATATATATATATATATATATATATATATATATATATATATATATATATATGTATATATATATATATATATATATATATATATATATATATATATATATATATATATATATATATATATATATATATATATATATATATATATATATATATATATATATATATATATATATATGCAATGTGAATTTATATATATATTTTTAAAACATATATTTGTAATTTAAAAACTTATTACTATTATTATTATACTATATATTATTATTATACTATAATACTATTATTACTGTTCAGATTGTCTGTTTTAAATATATAGTTTTTTCTTTTAGTTTGTGCATCGACTTCTCACGAATCATACACAGAGTCGATTGTCGATGCAATTATTGCTGATTCGTGAAAACGGGCAACTTTTGCTTGTCTTAAAGTGCCTTAAATCCAACAGATATCATCGTTATAATATTACTTTGTTTGTAAATTGTTTTAAAAAATAAATTTTAAAATAAATTTTAAATAAATTTTTTATTTTTCTTGTTTTTTAAAATAACAGGTTCTTTTAAAAACAATTTAATAATATTATCTATGGATTTGGGAATATTTTCTCAAAAATAACGTCTTTTAAAAGTTTAAAAGACGTTTTTTTATGGTTTAATTTAGGTTAATTGAGAACATTTTTTAAACGTTTTTTTTAGAACGTTTTTTAAACGACATTTTCAGAACGTTTTTAAAACGCTTTTTTAAAAACGTTTTTTAGGTATTGCCATTCAGAACGTTTAAAAAACGGTTTTTTTCTTAGTTAAAAAAACGTTTTAAAAACGTTCATGTGCTTACTGGGTACGTCTATCGGTAAGTAACATTATTATGATCTACAACAACCCATAAGCTTTTTACTTTATAAAACAAAACTATTAAAAAAAAAATTTGATACTAAAAATAAAGCAATTGTTTTCTATTAGCAATTATGAGAAAACTTGATGCAGCATTTGTGTGGAGGGCCTTAAACTGTATAAATGTACTGTATTGTGTGATAAACAATTCTAAAAATCATTTCTTTTAATATTTACAGTAAATTCTAAAGAGATTTATGTAAATATAATATTAGAAGATCTAAAACAATATATTATCTGGATTTCTGAAATGTGATTAGGACCATTAGATGAATTGTGTTATAATTATTAATTTGTTTGTCTTTCAAGTTAAAATCTGCTTTTTTTACTGAGTTTTATACTTTTTTAATGATGCTCATAGTTTTTATTAAATTACACATGGGCGGGTACCTAGATACAAAATTTTAGTTTTACTTTAAATAGTCTCACAAGTTTAACCTGTAATATTTTGGTAATTAACAAGTTTAACTTTGTAGGTATAAGTTAGCTCTACAAATTAAACCAACCGCTTAAAAAAAGACGAATTAAAAAAAATGTTACGAAGCAAAAACCTAAAATGATTCATGGTACCCCACTCTCCCCTAATTATTTTTGATATAAAAGATTGTTTTTTAATGTTTTGAAAAATTCGTAGACACTCATTTAGACATATATTTTGCAATATCAAATGCTTAAAATTTTTTTGCTGATTGTGGTTTAACATTATCATGAGTCAAAAATTTTAAGTTTACGTAACGTGTTATTTTTACATAAAATAATTGATTTCGGTTTATTATAATGTTTGTTAATAAATAACACTTGCGGTTTCATCTGCATACTGGCTTTTATCCAATTCTGGATGAAAACCCTTGCGAAGACGTAAATATCATCATCGTTTATTTTGCATAAATTTCACGAATCGCCATATAAAATAATAATTACAAGTTATTTGCACATATTTTTTGAAAAGAAAAAGTATTTGTACAACAAAATGTATAAAATGTGAAACGTTTTTAAAAATAGGTTATTGTTTTAATAATATTTATTACTTAATACTAATATTTACTAACCATATCGTCGAATACACCCCTCTATGTGGTTGAAACTATCCCAGCGTAGAGTACAAACGATCACTTTGAGGCTCTGGTTTATTAGGATTGGCAAACCCTTTTGAAACCACCAATATATAACCACGCAGGGGCAGATACAGATCATTTAGTAATTAAGGGAGGAGAGGGGAAAGGTCATTTTCAGATTTTTTTGCAGCTCTATAAATCATAAAACTGTTTTAATTATTTTTGTTTAAATTTCTATACTGTCTATTATATCCTATACCAGTGCAACTATAAAATGACATCACGCTTTGGCATCTTACATTCTCGCGGAAAATCTGGAGTTTTCCTCCACACCGGTGTGTCCCTATCACTCCTAGACACAAGTGCGGAATTAATTTGCACACTTGTGCGGAAATTAACCTTTCGACTTCTGCACAGAAGTGTGAAGTTATTTGCCCAAAATTGTGCAAAATAACTCCACACTTGTGTCTAGGAGTGATAACTACACACCGGTGTAGAGGAAACCTCCACGTTTTCCGCGAGTGTCCAGTTGAAACTCCACATTTTCCGCTAGTGTTAAGTTGTCCAGAACCACACTCCAAACATGCGTCCGATACCACCCGATCGTACCTCATTCACAAATACTAGTTTTAAAACCAGTAAATTAAAATATTAAACAATTTTTTTTAAATAAACATAGTAATTAAAAATATATCTTTAATCAATAAAAAGTTATTAGATTACATTAAAAATAGGTATATTAATATGTGATGATGGTACATCGCTCTTTTGGTGGTGGGAAACAATATCTTGCACTCCCAGCTAATCGCTTCGGCATATTATGATAGATATTTTGCATATACCCAAATAATGTTTTTATAATATATAATCACATAGCTTCTTTAGTTTAAGTTATACATCAAGTGTTTAAAGTAACCCACCGACTTTCCCCTACATTTAATCCTTTGATTATCTGTGGATATAGTAGCGCTCAGATCTACAGTGATGTCCATCATATTCACTGCATTTATTGTAGAATGATACAGTAGTCATAGATTTCTCTAGATAAATGCACAGTTTTTGATAGTATTGATTTTGGGCAGCACATTAATACTTTCCGGTAATGCGGTAATCATAACGGGCGTTATACTTTTTAATATCTTTGCTGATATATTTATATAATTTAGTAAATTTGTATAAAAACTAGAATAAATTTTTAAGATCATTTAAGAAGTGTACAGAAAACGTCTAGATGATATAACAAAAAACGTGTCAGAATTTCAAATTTAAAAGTGGTAAAAAGTTATGCTAAAGATGGTTAGCATAACTTTTAAATTCCATCTTCATAAAATGGCGACTTGTGAAAATATCTTTTGGGTGCTGTATACATGATTCTAAAAAATTTAAATACTAAGAAAATTATCTATAAATACTTAATATGCACAAAATTTATAATATTATAATAATTTCCAATTAATAATACAATTACTTCTGTAAACAGTAGCCTTAGTTCTTATTTACGATAAATATCTTTTTCTATTTTGATTAATAACCTAAATCTTGAATTAGTTCTTTATATAACCTATTATATATTATTCGAGATTAAGTAGTAAGTGTAAGATGCTCGTTACTCAACACTTGCATCCTTAAATTTCTTAACGTATCCTTAATCTTGATGAATCTTTTTAAAGCCGTTCATAATATTTTCGATATTAATTGGTAACTTTTGTAAATTACGGATGTCATTTTTGTTTCTTTATAAAATTAGTTAACACGACGTTTCGGTTTAATTAAGGACGTATTAATAGACTATTAATATGTCCTTGGTTTGATATACTTATTTTGTCACATGTCAACGACTATTAAGTAGAGCGCCAATCACCAATAATCTACTGTTTTCATAACCCAATGAGATAAGTAAGTCCATTCAAACAAGTAATTCAGCCGTCAACGTTTGATCTGTTTCTAAATATTTAAGAGATTAGTGTACCAATAATCGATGGGAGTGCAGTTCATTAAGTCAGCGAAGGGCATTTTTTGGTAGTCGAGTAAACTTTTCTGATATTCTAGTTTATAGTTATTTAGCATCATTGGTTAATGATCAAGTTTGGGGCCACTTCTTTTTTTAATCTATACTAATATGTTTAAAGCTTCTAATCTTTTAAGTATTATGTTTGTGGATAATACTAATTTATTTTTATCTGATAACAATATTAAAAAACTTTTTACTACTATGAAAGAAGAAAATATTTCTAGCTGGTTCAACTGCAGTAAACTTACCCTAAACATTAGAAAAAAAAGGATTCTTTTTCATTCAATAACTAAAAAACGTTATATACCCCTAGCTCTACCTAATATTTTAATTGACCAAATTGAAATAAAAAGAGTTTGCGTCACAAAATTTTTAGGTGTATTCCTTGATGAGAACATCACACGGAAGCAACATATTGATTATGTTGGTACTAAAGTTTCTAAAAATATTGGAATTCTTTATAAGGCCAGAATCAATATATATAAAAAAGTTTTATTCCAACTTTATTATGCGTTTATTCATAGCTATATGAATTATGCAAATATTGGTTGGGTTTGCACTAAAAAAAAAGTAAGTTTCAATCTCTCTACCGCCATCAGAAACATGCAATAATTAATTTTGCTGATCGTTTTTCTCACTCTAAACAACTTTTTTTTGAAATTCATATTTACAATCTTAATATTTTCAATATTTTATGCTTTGTATATATATATATATATATATATATATATATATATATATATATATATATATATATATATATATATATATATATATATATATATATATATATATATATATATATATTATGCAATTATTTATTAAACGTTATTATCTATACTACAAAGTGATATGTGTATGTATATTTGTTTTATTATGCATTTATTGTATATATATTGTATATGTTTATTTTATTATGTAGAACTTTTTAGTTACTTTATAACCTAATATTTTGTTTACACTAGTTTAAGGTTCTGACGATAAGATCTTACTAATCTTTTTTCAGATAACTAGTTTTTCAAATGTTAGTAGCATTTGCTTACTTTATAAATTGTTTTAATTTTTATCTACTCTCATTACCCTATGGGTCTTTTTTTTATAAAAGTTACGTTCTATGTCTTTTAAACGTTATTTAAACGTCTTTTAAGCGTTCTTTACGTAAGAATGTTTAGAAGATGTTTAAAAGACATTTAAAACACATTTAGAACGTAACTATAAAACAAATGTCCGTAGGGTATATTGTAAAAACGAACTAACAAATTTAAACTAATATGTTATTTTTTTAAGAACAAAAAAAGATCAAATAAATACTTCATCAGTAATCCTGATATGAATCGCCCTCTTATTTTTTCGGCTTAAGGGGACACAGACAGACAATAAAAGTAAACTAAAATCTAGGTTTAATTGCTTCTTGTTCTGGAAGAAAATTTATAGTTCGCTTTCCAACCCATATCAAAAATATTTATATACTGGAAAGGTTACACTCTAACAAAAGTGTGACGTTCGAGCTGATATTGGAAATTTCACTCTAATTTAATATGAGTCTTTA